TTTTGGTTAAGTGCCAAAAATAATTAAAATAATTTATTTACGGGAAAATGGAAATACGTTTGCCGGATCAGCTAGTATTTTTTTATTTTTTTTTTATGTCTTATAAAGTCATGAAGACGGATCTGACATCACACATCATCTACATTGTCATTATACTTATTAGTTATTTAAGAACCAATCGTATTATGGTGAATGTGTAGGTAAGTGGAAAAATATTCGTAAAAATCGTTGACAGTCGATAAATATTCCCTCATCGATCAATAAATCTTGTGCGGCTGACGTCGGCTATATGTGCGTATTGCCCACTCATAACCCTCACTCCCCGAAAAAATCAAAGGTGACCAGCTAATTAGAGTCAAGAACTGCTCAGTATAATGACAAATATTGGCTCTTACACATTGAAAAATGCCATAGCCATTTTCTTCCGAAAATTCGATTCTGTTTCCTCCTCACTGTCAATGTTCTTCTAAAGAGGAACTATAAATAAAAATTGGTATGGTGTTTATGTTAAATGCAAAAATAATAGTTATTACAAATAAAAACTGAATTAAATTATCAACATAAAGCCATAAAGGTAGGTACTTTTTTTTTTTAATCATACATTTCCGGAACGACCATCATACCTGAAAGAAATATTAGAAAAATTTTAATATTTGGAACTTAAAAGAAAATAGAATGCAACCTTTTTTTTTTTAAGAAGAAGAAAATGGACAGTGGAGGAAAACGGAATCCCATTTTTGGAGGAAAACGGATACACCGGTGGGTAGCCATCCCGAAAAAAAGGATCTAAATTATCGAGAATAAGATTAGTTATATCAAGTGTAATAAAATGTATAGACACATAGAAAGGAATAATATTTTTCTTTTTGTATATATATGTCTATAATATTATAATTTTATTAAAAATTTCTTGCATCTATTATTACTATAATAAGACGCGAGACATACGGTTTTGGTCACCCCTGGATGGCTGGATAAATTATAACATTTATAACAACATCGAAGTTACGTGAACACAGATAGTATACACAATTTTCATGTCTATAACAATAAAGATTGTTTTTTATACATATTTAGCACAATTCTCAAGACTGCCTTACTTGAAATAAGTTATTTCATATTATCATACTATACATTTAACTACTACCTTTTACGTTTTACCTACTTACACACCTAACGGCAAACAATAATAATAATATGTATTATAAAATGTATCTTTTACGAATAAACGTCACGACATTTGTGAGCGTACTGCAATACCACCAATATCAGTATAACTTATTAACCAATTATAGTATCTGTGTGCCATAGTATTATTATAATCTTCAAGAAATGTGCGCGAAATGACAACACGGATGACTTTAATCGGCGTGTGTTGTACTAGGTAGGTAATAATTTGCTACTTGTGTGCATCATAACAATATAATTATAATGCAATGTGCCATCATACAACGATGACAGGTAGCCTATTATAAAGCTATGAGTACTAATAATAACAAATAATTTATTATTATACTTAAACGCATAATAATAATTGTCATCACGCAGCGGTACCATCCAGTACCAATAATGATTGAATTGCGCGCATTATTCGCTCAAAAAATAGTTAAGTATATAAAAAATGCCATAATATTATAATGGGTATAATATTATTATATATGTGATGTGTCTAGGTAGATGATATACATATCTTAATAGAAAGTATATAGCAATAATATTCAATAAATTTAAATTGTATCAATATAATATACAATATATTATATTATACGTATATAGGTATTAGGTTGTAAACTTGAAACCAATTATACCGTAAACGTAATCGGTACACTATATTATAGGTTTAGGTAGGTTGAATTAATTATATAGTCGAATTTCGAATATTATTACCTATATATACAACGGTAGAATATATATAATAATATTACACACGCACAATCGCTTTTGTAAAGAACTATAATGATGTACCTAATCATAAATTATAATCATATTATTTATATTGAATTGTTATCAATAATATACGTAACTTACTACCAATTATTTTAATAATTTATATCCAATTTATGTATATTATATATTATTATTTATTATTAATTATTACTATTGTCATTTGTTTATTTATCTACTGTTGCTACTATACCTTACCTTTTTTTTTTCATGGTATCGAGGACCGGAGAAGGAACTATGTTGCCAATACTTCTCCTCCGGCCACCATCGTTTATTGAATAATCAATACAAAATCTTATTAGCAGTGGTGGGCCAGCCTCCCACTCACTACTATCACATCACATTATATTTTTATATTTTACTATAAATAGTCTAGGTCCCGTCTTCCACCGTCGCGTCTCAGGCTATGGTAGTCTGCCGGGCTCTTTCCTCCTCTTCTTTAGCGGACAGGATGCCTTCCACCATACCATAGAACAGCCTGAACTGTTCCTCGGCGTCTCTTAGTATCACGAACTTCCCAGTGAGATCCGCCGGGAGTAGCTCAAACTCTGGACCGCAAATAATCCGAGGAAGATCAGCCACGGTCGGTCGATGACCTAACTGAGCGCTCAGCTGGTCGCGGAATCAGTCCCAGTAGGTGCACTCAAACAGTGTGTGCTCTGCGGTGTCGGAGCTGCCCAAACATTATGGGCTGTCGGCCCTCACCATCCGGTTCAGGTACCATTGAAAGCATCCGTGGCCCGTTAGTGCCTGTGTCATGTGGAACGTCAGAGGCACTAACGGAACAGTTCTGCTTAACCATCTACCTATATCCGGTATGGCGCGACGCGTCCATGCGGCTTTTAAGGTCGCTTCCCACCTTGCCCGCCATAGAGCAATTTTAGTTTTTCGCTCCTCGAGTTTGACCGCTAGTTTAGACGGACGCAGTTCTCCTGGTTCAAAAGTGGCGTTCAGCCGAGACCTTATTCTCCCTCTCTCGAGCCCGGCCAGATCTGCCAGCGGCGTGCAGGCCAGAACCAGCGCGGCGTCATTCGAGACGGTTCGGTAGGCCCGTATTGTCCTCAAGGCGGCGGACCTCTGCGGGCGGATAAGGCTCGCCCTATAGTTCTGGTGACATTGGTAATCGAATTGATCCATACTGGGGCGGCTGGCTGTCCACGACTGAGCCAAGCAGTTTCCTCTTCCACTGCCCTGGGCCTCCTACATTCGGCATCAACCTGGCCAGCGCTGCCGCGGTCGGGGTTGCCTTTTTGGCAACGGTGTCGACGTGTGCCGCGAATGTGAGCCCTTTGTCTAATATAACCCCTAGGTATCTTATCTTGTTGAAAATTGTGATCTGATGACCACCGACAGTCAGCCGTGGGGGGAC